CGGGTGGGGTATCCTTGTGGATCCTCTTAAGGTAGGAATTTAGTGGTATGTGTTGTGTTCGCAGGCGAAATATCGTGACTTATTCTCTTCTACTCACGGAATTCATTGCATCTTTACCGTCTTACACAGGTTCGACTGTATTTATGGCTCAATCTTATCATATCAGATTATAAAACCAAAGCACCATAATATATAATATAATATAATGAAAAGACTACGTCCCGAAGAATTTCTCCCATTCTATTTCAGTGAGTCTGAATTTTTCATCAAATTCCATTCAAGGCAGTAGTGTATATATATATATATATATAGCACCAACATTTCTTATTTTGCAATAGACACTATAAAAGTGATGCTGGACAGATCAGAGATCAGATTAATTTAAAACGTCCTGATTCTGATCTATCCCCCACCACCATCCCCTCACTCTTGTCACTCACATATTAGCTGAGGCCACCTCTATTCTCAGGCGCAGTTGTAGGTCTCTCACCCGGAGTGAGCAAGCCTTACTTGGCTATTCTCACCCGGTGTGCATTCACCATGTTACCAGTGTAAACAAACATTTCAGCGCTCTTGTGTTGAAAGCCTGCAATTTTGTCTGAGGGCAGTGAGTGAGAGAGAGAGAGAAGAAGAGAGAGAGAGAGAGAGAGAGAGAGAGAGAGAGAGAGAGAGAGAGAGAGAAAGAGAGAAGGAGTAGGCTAGCAAGAAGTTCCGGGCAAAACAAAATGGTGACCGGCACAGTTTGGCTTGATTCGAAAAAAGTGAACTAGCCGTAGCATCTTTGTAGATGACCGAATCAGTTTACTTTTGAGCTATAACATCATTTTTTTTTCTTTGTTTTTGTCAATTTGATCAGCCACACCGATGGACAGTATCAGAAATTAGGAAAAACAGGTATTGTCTCACACCGGGAGAGATTAAGAAAAAAAATATGATCGGCCTCTCACACCAGGTGATACTTGCTAGCGTTGCCAGTCGCCATTTTGTTTTGCCCGGAAGTTCTCTCTCTGTCTCTCTCTCTCTCCCTCCCCCCCCCCTCTCTCACTGCTTGCAGACAAAATATCACGCTTTCAACACAAGAGCGCTGGAACGTTTGTTCACACAAGTATCATGGTGAACGCTATACTGGTATCATGGTAAACACACACCGAGTGAGAATAGCCAAAAGGCTCACCTGCGCTATTCTCACCCGGGAAGAGAATAGAGGTGGCCACTTACATTAGCTGAAGGGGTGAAACTACCTAAATATTTCTTTCAAAAGAGACCAAAAGATGTTCGGGAAAAAAAACTTTAAAATCTTTATTTCTCCGAACGGTTTCCGCTCTCAAGATTTTTGGTTATTTGCATAGAGTTATTCCTTTTTAAACTGTGTAGTAGTATTGTAAATATATTGTTATTTGCGAGATTTAAGCGTTATCTTTCATTCTGCCATTCGGCAAGGACTGGGATATGAGGCATTTTTTGCATCCAATTCAATTTCTAGAACTAGACCTGGAGATTTTTAAATGTCTGAATGAGCCATTGCCAAAACGTGGGGAAAAACACACATACATCTCACAGTAGTGTGCATAAAATGTAATGCATTAGTATTTATTCCTCCAAAACTTATACATATGTTAAATATAGAATGTAGAACCTGCATTAGCAGTTTCAGACCTAGTGTCAGCTTTACAATCTTGAGTTTGTAAATTTTGTGCCAAAAATGTTCGTTTTTTTGTGATTCCTTGACTGTCATTTTGAGCACACCAATTATGCAAACTTCCAAGAATGTCCAAAATTTAGTGTTTTTGGGTGTGTTTTTTTTACCTGTGCTTTTATCCTATGCTATTTGTGATCAAAAAAGGTTCACTTGCTTAAGAAATCAGTTTATTTGTTTGCAAATAAACAAATAATTCGGATCACTTGTGCGTCAGTCGTGTCGTCATGGACTAGGTGTTTCAGAAAACACCATTATTTTTCAGTAGAATCACCACAGCTGGTTAAATCTTTTTGCTTTTCGTCATTTATTCAATACTTCAAAAGCTGTGATGCGCGAAAGGAACATCGGGTTCCTAGATCTACAATTTCGGTCGGCTGTTTAACATTCGCCGTGACCGTCGTCACCCTGCGACGTACCGGAAGTCCGAATTTTAGCCTACTTTTGATTTGAACGGATCATCATCAGTGCCCAGATATAATTGTTTTCTTGAGCGACTTCCCCTTACCCGCTACCCCAGAACAGCGGAAGCAACGGCGGAAAGAGAAAAACGAAAGTAGTCATTGCCGTCAGCCTCCAGTGACGCACAAGAATCTTGCGTTGAATGTGACGCACTGGACTGTTTTGCGTGTTTTTAGGCTACCCTATTGAATATTTTAGTGAAATTGCGGTGTTTACATTGGATTCCTAGAACAAGAGTGCGATGTGTGAACAAACTTCGAGAGATGGATCATTTCTGTGGTTATAGATTTAGCTTTTGTGCTTAGTAATGACGTTTCGGGTGTTGTCATGCAGCCGTATAAGACTGACTGACGTACTAGAAATTACATTGTCCTAAGAGCAAACATTTTTTATGTCATGTGTGCTCTCTTTACTCAAACAAATAGACAAACATGTCCTTGTTTATCTGTCGTAACTCAAAAGTACACATTTGTTCTTTGTTGGCATGATATGCTCTTTTCCAATACATTTTGTTATTGTGTCATCATTGTTATGTGTACAAGTAATATTTGTCATCATTGCTATAATATCAATAAGTTTTCAACATATATTTCATACATGCAAGATTCATTTAAAAGCAAAATACGTCTTTATTGATCTGTGTATCTCATAGTGCAAATTTGTTCTCTGTAGGCATTGTTTTACCTTTTCCCAGTATGTTTTGCCATCACTGTTATGTTACGAGTACTGTTAATCATAATTAGCAACATAATTGTGATTGTCCACTGTCTTTGATATGACCTGATATCTGTTTCAAAGCAAAAGAAACCTCTCCTGGGTTTTTTTATTATTCTTAAAGTGCGCATTTCTCTCTATAGGCATGACTTTGTCTTTTCCTGTACATTGTGTAATCATTGTTATGTGTACAAGTCATGTTTGTCATCACTGTTATGTACAAGTCAGCCCCATTGATTTTGTGCTTTTGCCTCATATTAGTTTAAAAATTGTTTTACACACACATGTGTTTTTCTGGTGCTGAGGCTTTGATACCTGTATTTGTACAGCCTTTCACTATTGTGATGTGTTGTCAATGATAATGTCCAAAGTGTATCCTCTCTTGTACATAACAATGATGACATGTTCTGTGCACTGCGTCATTGTTACAATGCTTGTCATTCATATTACCATTATGAATGGAGTTCATAGTGTACAAAGTCTTTGTTTACAAAACAAATGGAATTTAAAGTCTATAATTTGCCTTGCTGCTTATCTGTTTTTGTCATCACTGCTACATACAAGAAGAAATACAGTGGTTGCCAAACCAATAGACCCATATCTCAAAAACCCTACATCTCCTTGCTGTATGAGAACTAAATGTCAATCTGTGACTGACAGAAAAGGGAGTCAAATTAGTAACAAAATATTTTTGGCACCATTGAGTCTCAAGAGAGTCTCACGTTTTGGCAATTGCTCGAATATTCAGATGCGTCAATTGTGGATGGGGCAACGTTCCCGGACTATACTTCATTTAAAAATGTCTTCAGAAGGTACTACGAGAAAACAAGACTGCTCGACCGTGGCAGTAACCTATTTTGCATTTTGTCACCCCCAAATCAAAAACTAAAATCCTTCATGCAAACAAACAAAATCCCTCCACGGCCCCACGCCTCACCCCCCCCCCTCCGTTCACACCTTACATACACACACACACACACACACACACACAAACAAAAACATGCGCGTCGTGTCCACGACGCACGGGTCACTCGATAAAGGGAGTATACAGACCCGGTAACCAGGAACAAAGTCACAAAGTATACAGACCCGGTAGGGGAACTCTTTTGTGATTTCGGAGAGTTTCAGCGCCCTCTTGGCTCAGGGTAGACCTAGGTTCTTCTAGATCTATAGGGGAACTCTTTTGTGATTTCGGAGAGTTTCAGCGCCCTCTTGGCTCAGGGTAGACCCAGGTTCTTCTAGATCTATGGACTAGGTCTAGATATAGATCTAGGCAGACAGACATTTAAATCTTTGATCTAGTTTCGCGGCTAGCCTTGATCTAGATCTAAATGAAGATTACGGATGTCTTTTCAAAGAACGATCATTTTTCCTCCGTTTTGGAGTTGGAGGAATCGCAATTTGAAGAAAAGAACAATGTCATAATTTCAATCGAACAGTCACCCTCTCTATTTCTCTGCCTCTCTCTCTCTCTCCTTTGTGTATCGCTCGCCTTCTCTTTTTCATAGTTTGTCTCTGTCTTTCTTTCTCCCCACCTATTTCCCACTCTATCTTTCTCTCGTTCCCTCCTGCCAACTGGGGCATGTCATATATATACATAGCACCTCTCTGTCTCTCTCTCACACACACACACACATACTAGATTTCTACCAGGTCTGGGCGCTGAAACTTCCCAAAATCACAAAAGAGTTCCCCTACCGGGTCTGTATACTTCGTGACTTTGTTCCCGGTTACAGGGTCTGTATACACTTCGCTCGATAAATCGTAAATTTGATTAGAAATGGAGTTCAAGTTTATTTTCCCGAGCGTTCAGAGAAATAGAGCCGGCCTATTATAATAGCCTCTGAGACTATCCTCCTCATTATGTTACTTTATCTTTACCACCGACGCCAGAGTCAGAGAATCTAGATCTAGATCTAGTGCACTTCCTAGATCTAGACTTGTAACGTTTGTTGACCCTGCCCTGGGTTACATTTATTTTGAATTTGAATACTAGATTCTAGATTCTCTACAGGTTTGTGTAACTCCAAGAAACCACGCTGTTTTTGTTTGTTTTAGTTGTCGATCTAAGCTCTAGAATGAGATTTCAAAAGTGCTTCAAACAAAACAAAACAATAAAAAAAATTACCACTGATTTCTTCTGTTCCCTCTGTCAGGATGTCTTTTGTGAGATTCGACAACTGTCCAGTCAGGGACGAAAGACTGCCTCCAAGCCATGACATTATTGTGCAATGTTGAACAGCATACTAACAAGAAAAAAACACTTGGGATAAACTTTAGCAAACTTCAAAAAGTGTCCAAAACTAAGGTCGAAAGCAATCACAAGACTCCCCAATAGTTTGTTTGACTTCTGTAGCGGCCATGTTGTAATTTCCGACGTGTCGTGAGGAAAATCACAATATAAGGGACGTTACTCTCATTAATTGTTTTCACATTGACTAATGCTCGGTTCTTTCCCCACATTTTGTTGACGCCTAGAGCCCTGGCTGGAGTCCAGCATGGAACCGGAGACAAAAAAATCACTAGTCAATACTAGTCATCTCCGATGGAACCCGAGTAGATCAGTTGAGGGCAGATTCGGCGAAGAAAAGAATGATAATATCTTGAATCGGCCGACATCAAATGAAATTCCCTCTCCCAACCAAATCATAACTAGATCTAGTACATGTAGCACATAATGAGGCTTTACTAAATGCCCAGCAACGAGACAAGTTATATCGCCTCGGCCTAAATGCCATTAACACGCAACAATTTTGGAGAATTCATCGTCACCATTAATACCTTATCAATAGGCTACCTGAAACAGACATATCGGTGATCATGGTTCGCCATTCATTCCTTTGCTGGGCTTTAAAAAAAATAAAAACAAAACAAATATAAACCCCAACCTTGCCCCCC